CATATTGTATATTGTCGAGAAGGAATTGAGAGTGTTGTGGTTTCACTATTAAGTAAAAGAAGAAACTTAGGTAATAAGGATGGTTTCCTTTATTATAAATTGAACAATTTTTCTGTTATTTTTGTAATTTTTACGTTTTCAACTTCGAAAATCTTCGTAATGTTTAAATGTCTTAAGCATATCTATACGTTAAGATGAGCATTTTCATGCTTGCAACATTATAAAAGTGTTGGTATAGATAATATAATGATGATAAACACTTTAATAAACTTTAGCAATTTTTAATGTTTAACAAACGTTCCATTATAATACATATAATTATCATCGTGGATGGTTTCATCATCGAAGCATCATTATAAATCATTTTAAGATTGATTCAAATTGCTTTTACTGATCTTACTCTTATTGTAAATACAAATTTTATAGAAATTTCATAAATTATCTCGTAGATATTCACATAATTTCATATCGTTTTTCCAGTTACTCCGAATTCCCAATACAGTTTCCAATGTTATCCCAGTTACGTATTGCTTTCCTTTTTCTTTTCTCAGAAAATTATGAAGGAAAATCAATATACTGAAGATACGAAACTGTTTTTTTTACCTCTGAAGAAGATTATTTTACAGAAAAAATATTAAAAATTTCAAGAGATTTTTCAAAAAAAAAAAGTAATAAACTTTTGTAACAATAAACTTGATGATAATCTCTACTGAAAAATTTTTCAGAAACTTTAAAGTAGTGCCTGAAATCTGAAGTGTTTTCAGATTAAACATTTCAAGAACGAAATTTTTTATTAATTTAAAAAAGAAATAAAACAATAACAACAATAAAAAGTGAGAAAGCTTTAAGGAAAAGTCTTGTTATCTATCATATATTCAGGTTAATTTTCCTTAATAAAATATCCTAATGATAATAACAGAGTAACACTCTTTACAGATAATTTCGTGATAATGCAATTTATTACTCTAAAATTTATTATATTAATCTCTTTATATATATATATATATAATTACATTTTATACTCGTTTCTTCTATGACATTTCATGATCTTGAAAGTTCTTTGTTGTTTATGGTTATGAATTCTAAATGAGTTGCAGAGAACACGATTAAATAAATAAATAAATAAAATGTTATTATAAATATTAAAATTTTAAACATTGTATTATAAAAAAATGAATATTTTTATTCGTTTAGAGTGAGAAAATTTTAAAAAATATATATAGAAAACTCATCAAAATATCATTAAGATTGAAAGAGAAACGTGTGATGCGATATCGGTTCCATTTTGTGTATTAGTAATGGATTTTTTTGTGAAAAAATCTTCTATTTTCTGAGATTTTTTTATAAAAGAATTGCCAGAGAGTATATTTTTTTAAATAAATACAATCATTTAAAATTTAATTAATATATAGGCTAATTTGTGTGTTTAATATCTTAAAATTATTATACACTTCTAAACTTTCTCTTCTTATAATAAATTCTTTTTTACGGAATTTCTCTTATAAATCTCTAAAATTTGATACATTTTACAACATTTCTGGAAAAAAAAACAGATTATTTTAAGCACAACTCAATGCAGTTTTAATATAATTATGAGTTGTAAATTCGAATTTATGATTCGAGGCAAGAATTTTAACTTTAATCTCATAATCAAGAATTACGATCTAATAATTAAATATAAAGTCTTTATCATTATAAAGTTTCTAACTTTATAATTACTCCTTTACGAAACAATAATTGACTAGTAGAAAATTATGGTGGACATTATCAAAAATGCTTACTGTCACACACACACACACACACAGTCTTCATTTTCTGGTAGTCTACCTTCCTGGGTGATCTTGGAGGAAAATAAAAAAATAAAATTTGGAAGGTTCCCTTTCGCATGATGGTTACAGACCTATTTTTATCGGGCATGAGTCATCTTTTCAAGTCACGATCTTTACACGGGAGAGTAAGTTAAAGTCACGCGGGTAAGGATTACACGAAGCGTGACTGAGAGACACAAGAGAAGCCATTTAGCAGGAAATATATATATATATATATTTGTCATTTTTTTTGCATGTTTTCTACACTACAGAACTTTAAAAATATATATATATTTTTTAAGTTTTTCTCGTAAATTACGCATTAACAATATGTAAATTCACGTTTTTAAACACGCTTCGTAGTGTTTGACGTAAGAGTAGTGAGGTTATACAAGTGTTAAAAGACGTCACGAGTGTAAAATATATAGTGTCACGTTTATTAAAATCGATGGTATGAACGAATGATTTAGAAAACCTAACAATTGTAAAAAGCAGTTAATCTGGTTATAGTTTATCTTCGAACACGTTAATTATCTTTTTCTTTTATTTTTTTTAAAGAAGGATTGCTCTTGTAAACCTGATTGATTAACTCGTACATTACGTAATTAGTTTGGTTTAATGTTCCGTGTCGTGAACAGTTCTATAATTAAAGTAAAAAGTAAGGCTTCGAGACAAAGAAACAGTTTCTACAAACAAAGAATGGAAAGACATATTTAACCTTTTTCTAACGAGTAGGAAAATTATGGCATTTAAATATGATAATGATTGATAAAAATCGAAATAAATAAACTAATTATAAAAATAAATCGAAAAAATTATCAAAATTAATATTTTAATTGGGTTTTTACATACAAATCTGCGAGCATAAGATCATGCAAAGTAGTGTTAAATGATATAATGAACAAAGATGGGTATTAAATTACATTAAAAAAAAATATTAATATATTAAAATTTATATCGTAAACACGTAGAAAAAATATTAATTAATACCTGTAAATGTACAATTTAACATTATGATTTATTTAGAAAACAAAGCAATGCATTGTTGCATGAACATTAAGCGTATGTTTAGCATGCAAAGTGAGGCATTAAAGCCGTTAAACTAAATATATAACCGTGCAACTTGGAATGCAACCTTCACAATATATATGTACAGTACAGTAAGGTATTAATTTTTCATGTTCATTGTGTAGAATTAATGCCCTAGTTTGCTAGCTTATACAGCAAACCAGTATCGTATCCTGCGTGCTCACTCGGATTTAAGTTAGTGAGCAGGCAAAGTACCGTATTAACATTAAAAAAATGGGTACAAATAAAATCGTAAGTTATCGAATTACACACGGAGCCCGCTGAGTAAGATATTATTTTACATGGTAAGAATGTGAAGTAATTGTTAACTTACATAATTGAGCATAAGTAGGTTGTAAGTTTGAGCAGGAAAAGTATAACATGTAAGTTCATGGTGTGCGTGAAACAATATATTCTGCAATGCCTTATGAATTCATAATAAAGCAAGGAAAATCTTACGTAAAAATATATGAATTTACCAATTTAATAACGGGTAAAATAAATAGAATAATTTCTATATTTATAATGATTAAATTGCGTAAAAATTGTACAGAAAGCATAATATTAAGTAAAACAGCAAACGTTATAATGAGTATACAAAATGTATAATGATTAATGCTAAAATACAACTACGTTAATTAAAATATTTAAAAAATAATATCGAATTAAATATATAAATTTTATTTTTTATAATTATTAAATTTATAGTATTTTTACGCTCACTTTCTCGGTCGGAATTCCGGAAATGTCGAACAATCCGCAAGGAAAAACGGAATGTAAAAAAAAACTATAATATATTGGCTTACCATTATTTGTTCATATTACTATTTTTAAGTTACCTCTCTATTCGATTGATTGCACAACCGTATATAGCAAAAATTTTGTACCGGTTAAACTGTATACTTCACTCCTGTACTGAGTTTGTGCATGCGAGAAATTATTCCAAATATTCTCTTCCTGGTTCAAAACTTTATTTTTTCGAATTTTTCCAATTGATTTTAAAATCAAAATTAGCTTATATTTAATCTATATATATTTATATATAATATATTTAACTTTTTATGTGTATTATATATACTACGTAACGTTTGCAGAATCAGCGTAAAATGACGAAGAATCTGCAAAATCATTGTGTATGAGGGTTTTCAGAAGTCGTGTGCCTGTACTGGTTTGTAATTTGCTGTGTTTTTTTTTTTTTTTTCTTTCTTCTTTGAGTTTTCGTCACCTTCCATTCTCGCATCTCGTCACCGGAAAAACGCGATATCGCCTTACGTGCACCCGATACGAAGAGGGAACATGGCCTAGTTTTTCTGTTACACTCACGTATCTCAGATCACACACACAACACACACACACAGTGCAAGGTTGCAAGACGGTGCTTAATCAGCAAGGGAGACGGGACGGTTCATTGTTTACCCCCTCGACTAGCTCTATGTGGGTCCTGTCTCGTAATTCCTGCACGTGAATGGGCATCAAATTCGACATATCCTTCGACGTAGATGTTGTAAAGATGCTTACTTGACAAAACAAGTCCGAGCTGCTTCTTGTAAGTAGGAAAAATCACTTGGTTGACGTATATTTACTTTACTTAAAACGTTTCTAAATGGCTGTAAGTAGTACGAGGTGATCAATTAAAGTCGCATTAAGACGAAAATCTAATTATGATCCTCGTTAGATGTGCATTAATTCTTTCTTGTGTTATGCGTAATTGATTCTTTACAGGAAAGTTTCAGATTTCTGCTGAATTTTTTTCTTTCTTTTTAAAGATTTTTAACGTATAATTTGTTACTTGAATAATTTATATATTTAAAAATTTGTTAACTCGTTAAATAAGTAGGTTTTATTAAAGTTTTCTGGACACACTCGATCAGTTTGGAAAATTTAGGCCGATTACGAAATTCATTTTTCAATTAATAATCATTGTAGGTTATAATTAATTGCATATTTCTTACGAATCTTACAAAGATTAATGTTTTATAAAGAATAAATTAAGTTATGTAACTGTTCTATAGTTTAAAATATTATATATTTTTCCATAGAAATGTAACATTTGTATTTTAACTGTCAGTTAATAAGAACATCTGCTAGTAATTAACAGATGTTTTTTTTTTATTATTATTGCAGAGAACAATGCAGAGGGAACCGACTTCTAAAGGTGAACTCATACATGATGATCGAAGCACATGTCCTAAAATCGAAGGGGAGTTGGAATCAGTAAAGATAACAGAACAGGAGATTTACAACCAAGCTCCTATCGTTCTTTACGTAGACGAAAAGTCAATCACTAAAAGTAACTCTTCGGGGAGCCTTCAAGAATCTCCAACCTTAGATGAACCATCGAAAAGTATAGAACAGACTAAAATGATTGAGCATAAAGTTAATGATCAATCTAAACTCGATATCGATTCGATCTTTAGCACCGACGATGACGAATCCGATAAGAGTTTAAGTATTTTTCCTGAAAAACTTTACTGTGACTCGCCTACGTCATGCCATAATTATTCTTGCGCTTCTGATGATTTAGAAGAAGACATTTTCTTATCCATTCCTTGTGAAGATGATGGCAAGAGTAACGATCGATCCGAATCACCATCATCAATTAATTTAAATACATTAATGTCCAATCATTCTGTTAGTGATGTCCAAGATGATTATATGTCGGAACCAGATAAGAATGCTTCACAGATTCAAGAAGATAAATCTGCAAGACAAGAAATAACGAAATTTAGTGATAAAGTAGAAAATTTAGTTACAGAACAATCAGAAATTGGCTCCAGGTCTTATAAATGTGACAGTATCCAGATTGGTACGGATGAAGAGGAAGATGATTTATCTTCAAACGAAAACATTTCTACTGAAAATGATGCAATAATTAACAAAAAAGTACACTTAGACGATTCTTTTTTGTATACATCTAATGATAAGTGCTCTTTAGACATATCAACAAAGGAGAACCGTCCAAAGATAGAATCAATTCCAGAAACTCTTAGGAGTAATGATGACTGTGATATGTCGAAAGAAATATTGGTTAACCAAACAAATAACTGTACTAATTCGAATAATTCTGTTCACAATTTGACAAGAATTGTGGAATTAAAAAACAGAGTTGAAGCAGAAGAAGAGACGTCAAATTCTACGACATCTTCATTATCGTCATGCAAAAATTCAGAACACCAAGTTGAAATTCAGGTACGTTCGATCGTAGTATTGATTAGAGTTTGTTTTGCTAATTTGTACTAATTTTTCTATAATTAAATAAAAATAAATTATGTCACGTCTCCATCTGTTTTTAATTTAAATATTTCTATTGGAAATTAATTGTCTATGATGAAAATTTTAATCGCTTTTGATCGGATATTAATTTAAATTGAAATTTAAATAAGACGTTTAGACAAATATCGATCCAAACAATTGGATAATCGAAAGTGAAAATTGAACTTGTCGCCTACACAATTCGTGTTGGGTTCTTTTTTTTTTATGTTAAAGAACCCTCAACCCCAATAGATCTTGGGATAAAATAAACAAGATATCCAATAGCAGGTTTGACACATTGGCTTGAATAGGGTCACAGTTATAATTCTCTTATTATTATTTCACGATAATTCTTTCTTATTGGATTTTATGAATGTTATATAGAATTTCTATCATGTATTTAAATTATTCTTTCTTCTAAAATCATATATATTGTTTTTTTAAATTTAATATTTAAAAGACTACTTCTGTGTTCCTATATAAGCCAAGATAGCCTGTTTGATCCTGCTGGTCCTCTTTACTGAATGATTATTTGGAAAATATTTGAAAAAAAAAATCCTATAATATTTAATGTGGACATATTTTATTGATTTATTTTATAATAAATTAATTTAATGTCATATTTATTAGCGTTACTAACGATTTTATAACACAATACATTCATATGAATCATTTTAAAATTTATATAATACATTTATATCGTGATTATATAAAATATTAACGTTCTATTATTATTATTATATTTCCTGGTATATTTAAAAGTGGCTTGCAATCTATACAAGATAAATATATAGGCTAAATAATATAATATGATTTCATAGGAATATAACGCTTCTACTTTTGTAATGATACTTTTGTTCTAGGATATTCTATATTAAATTAGGGGTCTTCAGAGTGGTCGATGTTTATAGAGGTCAAAAATAATTGGGGGTTTATTGGAAATGATTAAAAACGATTCATTAGTCTAATGGGTTATATGTAATGGAGATAGTTTCCTATTATTATAATGTTTTATATTAATTTCTGTGGTGTTAAAATGACTTTTTCTATATTTATATAATATTCATAAGAGAGTAGTTCCGAATAATTACATTATATTTTCTTCTTTAGTATGAGAAGTATTATAAAAGTATTACTTATTGACATTTTTTAAGTGTTGAAGAGCATCTTAATAGTTTCTTAAATATTCAACAGGTATTGTTTGAGTATAAAACATATTCTTGAATATTCAGTAAGAGAGAACTTATATATAAAATAATAACATAAAAGAATTCTGAAGTATCATGTTTATTGGGTGGAGTCGAGAAATTTTTATTACAATAGATTTCTGTTTATTCATAATAGTCATTTATGTAACGTGTTTGTGTAATTAAAGGTTTTATTTTTTTTTTTTTGGTTTGTGTGTGTAAAGAAACACTTCCGTTGATTTTATAAAATGTTTAAAAAATATGTTTAAATATTAGATTTAAAAAAATATATATTTCGCGTGTTATAATTAAGAGATTTAAAGGTGTAAAATAACGAGAAAACAACGATTGAAAAAGGAAAAATAGAAAATCAAAACACCTGTTCCGGATCGTGACACTTAGACTTGTGTCTTGTTTTTTTTTTTTTATTTCTACATTTGATCATTTTCCTTTATTTTTTTTCCTGTTTCTTCCATCCTATCACCTGCTAGCGGTGACAATCTTTACTCCGTTACGTCTTAATTGCAAACAGACAAGCAAAGGTGACCCATTATTTCCGCCATCGTTATATTACCTGTCATTTGGAAGGGGGCCCATCACTCGATAATGTATACAATCGAAAAGTAGAAAGGAAGAAAGTATCACAAAGTTGGAACTATAAAAGAGTTAACGATCGTTACGTCTACCATTTTAACTTCGTAATGTTACTTTATAGTTAATTTTAACCACGATAACTTTTTTTTTTTTTTTTTTTTGTTTTCCTCCCTCTTCTAGAGTGAGTTAGTGAGAAGTTCTGAAGATAATAAAGATTGTGATGATGTAAAGAACAACGATGAGAGCTGGGAGAATTCTTATAATCAAATATTGGAGTCAAAAATAGATAAGGAGATAAATCAAATGGATGAAGTAACGAATTCGGGTGATGATAATCAAAAATCAAAACACTTCACTCTCCCTATCGACTGTTTAGAAGAAGACTCGTTTGATGTTGAAATTGGCAATATAAATCGGTCGAAATTGGGAGAAGATGAAGAGTCATCACCAGACTCGTCGCCGGAGCCAAAATCAAATCTACTCTTAGATTGCTTTGCTGATTCCGATGAAAAATCAGACGATGACGTCAGCACGTGTACGGAAGTAGACAGTGATGTCACACCGTCCAGAGAGAGCATCCCGGAAGAAGTTTCTGATATAATTCCAGAGTTAAGCTTCTATCATACTTGCAAGTCTGGAAAGGTGAGAAAGTTTTAATATTCTTTTTCTGTTTTTTACGTAGATGCCAACTTAGTTTTTTTGGGGGGAGGAGAGGTCTGTGTAAACAGGTTAAAAGTAAATATTTTAGAAAATAAATTGCAATTGGTAAAGTTAGGAGATTTACTAGTTATTTTTCGAGCTATTTCAGCAGTTTTAATTTTTTTTAACGAAAGATAAATGATATTCGGTGGCTTAAAAAACACTCTATCGGAGAAACCTTGACATTAACCATGTTGTGTTGGGCGGTGATTCAGTGTGGGCGGTCATACAAGAACATGCTTTTCATATTGTTCTTCTTCATTACATGCGTCATTTGATGGAAGCGTCTATGTTTACTCTTCTTCCCTATTGCTCTCCACCACCTGTCTATAACTTGGCCTAGCAGCAGCTGGCCTTTCAGCTCCTCCTTTGTTCCTTTGTTTCATTCACGTGTACCTTTACTTGACCGCCAAAACAAAATCCTTAAAGTGTAAAAACTAAAAGCCGAATAGTTCCCGTTGTGCGGTGTATAACAAAGCCAAGTTACAATGACTAATGCAAGTAATCTTTGTATATATATATATGTTTTTTTTAACTCACACTTTTGCTATCCCCGAAACCCATTTCTAACATTTTCTCTCTTGAGTTGTAAAACTGGTAATACTTGACCCATAGCTAACGTGTCAAGTTAGAGCAGGAAGTGTTTGCCTCATTCGCAGCCTTTTTATCATAGTGTGACAACGTTATATGTATGATTAGGTTATTTAGATCTCGATTCGTGACATTTTGACTCCTATCGTGATGTCGAATTGAGACCGACGTGACGAGTGAAAGGACAAACGTTTCACTACCAGTTTTGACTTTTCTCGCTTGACTTACAATGAATGCATTTATAGCGATGTCTGATGAGATTATCACTTGTACTTTTATTATTTATAAATATTGTATTTTAAGAAACGGCATTCTAGATGCACATCTTAAGTATTGTGTAAGTGAAGTGTCTAACCCTTCATTTACAAAATGTTTTTATGGTAATTTGCATCTTCTATATACTCCTTCTCCCATATTATCTGTTCTGTATAATATTTTCTTGTAAATTCAGAAATTTGATCATATTCTTTACGTACTGAGGTGTAGTTACAGTTCTTATACATAGTTTTTCTTGGTTTTCCTGTTGTTCTGTATAATTTAATAATAATGCTTATTTCTGAATAATCCTTGAAAACAAGGCTGGTGTTAAACTCGTTACTTTAATCTATAACATATATATAAATAATAAATATAGCGTATATAAATAATAATTTTTTAAGAAAATTAAATTACATAAAGATTGTGACGTTATTTTCGAAAAAAATATATTTAAAAAATCGTTTATACTGATACCAGAAGCGCATAAAGAAGTTCTAAAAGTCGAGTTAAATCTTCGATTTGCCTAGTTGGTAAGTCCAACACAACTGCAAATTGAATTCGTGACTGAGCCTCACGTAGTTCACAGCTGATCACGTTTTACTGTAGTATTAATTCGAATGTTTTTCCTCTCTACGGTATCCCACGAAGCGATACAGGCTGGGAAAAGACAGAAAGGAAAAGAAAGAAGAAAGAAAAAAAACAAAAAGATTTCCTTTTAGTTCATTCAAGGTACCCATTAATGATGAAAGCGCATCTAGTAATCACTATACCTCATATTTGAACAAGTATTCATATTTAAAACTGAAGTCAGTGATCCCACAGGCTATATCTTAAATTGAGGACCCGTTTTTCCTGGAAAATCTTCCTCGCAACTAAGGAGTCAATCCTCTTGACCTTTCAGGTTGTAAATAAATCTAACATCGAATACAAAACGTCGTTGGTATAATTGCCTTTGAATTATCTTTTTGTAAGTATATTTATCTTCTAAAGTCACTTTTTTTTATGTTTCTTTCAAAATTTTAAAGACATTTTAGGAAATATATATATATATTGGTAAACAGACTCTCGTCTTCTCGATTTGCATGACAATACCCGGTCACCTGTGAAAAATCAATAGGTTGAAGTTTCTCGGAAATATTCCCAGCTGTTTTTGGATAGCTCGAAGCACAAAAATCCCATGTCCTGCAGTTCCGGTATATTGTCCTTGTTCCCGATATTATTCATTTAGCGAGGAATAAGAATTAAACCAAAAAATTTACAAGGTTGCTCATCGCTTTGAATTTTGAAATTTCTACTAAAAAATTTTCCCTCCAGACTATATTTACTAAGCGTATCAAGGACTGTTATAACCTTTCTCTAGTCTGCACGTCTCAATAATAAAATTAGAAACAATAATCATCATCCGAGATTGTGGTCAACCTTGAGATTGTTACTCTATACAATCTTGGCAGATTTATTAAGGAGTCAAATTCCGATCTCCGTTGGAAGCCCTCCAACAAAACTTTCTCAAAAATATAATCACTCATCAGTCTATTGTTTTAATACAGTTACTCCCATTATCGTGACTGAAAACATAAATTCTTAAGCTTATCTACAAATTGCATCTCTATCGTTGCTTAATTACTCTTTGGTTAATCCTCTAGGATCCTATATTATTTGATTTTTAAGCATGCTCCACTTTGTAGAATAAGAGAAAAAAAAAAAAAAAACTAGACAAAAGCGGGTTTTGTTTCTTCGAGGAATTTCTAGATTAATATTAAATGTAATCACGTAATCAAAATGCACCAGGAACTAACATGTGTCACAAGAGGGTGTGGATAAATGCCCAAAAGAATAGAAAGTGAACTGAATCTAGCCTTGACCAGATAAGCAAAGATTTAAATAAATATCTATATATTTTTTTGAATAAAACATTTTATTATAGTCTATATAATTTTAATATTTAGTACAACTCGTGGGAAATTAGACGTGATACGAGCGTAGTTGCATTTTTTACTGATCTAGTTTACATAAAAGATACGGTTCTGTAAAAGCAAGGTTAAAGAAATGTCACTTTGTTTCACGTAAGTTCTTCGTATTTAATTCCGTAGAAGTGATTAAAATCCTTTTCCTTTCGAAAATATTTATAACTCTTTAGTATTCATTTATATTATTTTACATAATTTAGAATGACATTAATGGGTCGTATTCAGTGTCAAGTGCAAAACACTCCAGGAATCGTTTGTTTACGAGGAGAAAGGAATTTGAGGTCGTTGAAATTTCAGGTCATATATATGATTTTCCTTTCTAGTATGTAATATATTATAAAAAAAGGACTAAATTGACAATTTCCATCGAAAATTTCCGCATCTGGCTTTTGTCACTTAACCTTTTCGACTATACTTTTGCGGTCAATGACCAAATCTTCCTCGAGAATGGATATTGAAACCCTTCAACGATACGTAACCATCGACATGTCTTAAAAATAAACAATCATAATATAAATTTTAATTACTCGACCCTTCGTTTCAGGAAGTGTAGACAAGAAGTTTTATAATTCTAAACTCATTTTTAAGTCTAGAATTACTGGTTGGTGTTGGGTGTGAAGAGTTTTATGTAATATATGATTATAAGCAACAGATATCAGTGCAATCTCGACATCTATCTGTTATGCCGTTCTCATTAATTATGATTTATAAAAGTTTAGATCCATCATTTGTATCGCTTCGGAAACAAGTGCTGTTTAACTAGTTTTAGATGTCGGGGAACAAAACGGTGCGACTATAAAGTCCAGAAGGTCAAAAACACTTAAAATGTAGGCAAGGCACCGCTCTGATAAATTTGGAGACCTTCAACAGATCACAGACGTGGATCCTGCTATTTAACTTTTTGAGTATAGGGTGCGGATTAATTTTCGGCCTTCTTTTATATCTTGTCAGATAGTAAATTAAGCTATGTGTTTGTCTTCCTACCTTCCTTCCTTTTTTTTTTTTCTTTATGGTATTTTTTTTTTCTGTTGTTCTATCTTATTCGGTCGTGAATGGTCAACTCGGTTCCGGGTGCGTTGAATAGATCACGAACTTCTACCTGTTCTTAGCTTAATACCATCTGTTTATTTCTATGAAAAACCTGTAAATTGATTTTATTGTTTTCTGATTATTTTATCTTTTAACAATCTTAAATTACCGTAAAAAATTTTTATATTGTTTTTTACATCTGTAAAATAGCAGCGAGATTTTGAAGAAGTTTAAACAAAATTCTCTCTACTTTTATACCCGAAAATATATATAGCCTATATGTAATATTTATAATTATTATATTATATAATTTTATTCGAGAAAAAGTTATAAGAAGAAGAAAAGAAAAATTGTAAAAGTTTTGTGAAACTCGAAGACTTTGAAAAAATAAACAGAAAAAAAAAAAGTCGAAGTTTTGTAAGACGTATACGAGATGAAAAGAAATGAAAAAATAAACTAAAAAAAAAAAATAAGAAAGAAAATGTTGTGTAATGCAAGAAGTACACGGGGAGTCCTCTGAAAATACTCCGGATCGATAAAATTTCAATAGGGTCTTCGGAGCGTAAAACGGGATAGGTCTATCTCAAAATATATTAAGAATGCAGAATGGAAATATCTAGAAAATATACATAAAAAAAATGAAGAAAATACACATTTTTCTGAAAGATAAAAACATTGTCGATTACAGAGATTTACATTTTAAACAATATTTCGAAAGTTTAAAACGTGGTGGTGCTTAATGGCTTCCATCCGATAGTTTATAAAAATCACCACCACCCCAGCGTGGGTAAAAGTGAATTATTTTGCAATTAATATATTTCACAGTACAAAAATGATTATAACGTTTACATTCTTCTACCTCTTGTAAAGTCGTCGAGGCGTCAAACAAGCGTGAAAATTGATTAAGAGTTATGTAATTGTCTTTATGACAAAATTGAACCGACGCGCGTTACAGTCGGGTCATCGAACTGAGAAAAAAAAAAAGACAACTGTTCTGCATTTTGACCACCCAAGTGGTCACATTTACAATTATTATTAATAACTGTACCGTTGCTTACGTTGTTAACATCGTTTCAGTCACACAACGGGAGTTCCAGCTGACATAACACGAAATATCTAGCACCTGAGTTGGGATTATTGTCTTTCCTCCGCGACTTATGCAAGATGTTTTTTTGTTAATTTGAACGTTTTTAATGTAAAAAAAATGTGCGCATCCGTCATAAAAAATATATTTAAAGCGATTAAAAAAGTATTTATGATCAAGGTATGTTAAAATTTAATTATTTTCTCCATTTAAAGTTAAGAAACGAAGCGTTACACCCGCGCTTTCTTTTTAGTTTTTGTTGTTTGCGGTAGAAAATTTTAATTAAAATTCTTCGATAGTCGATAATTCTATTGATTAATAGATTTTTTAAAAATGTCTTCTCGGACATTTTGAAAAATGAAGTTTAAAATTCGTTAAACACGACCCGCGAACTTAGCTATAAAATACAAATACTCATATATTGAAGAACAGGTTTTGATGATGTCGAGAGAAGAAGCAACTATCAGAATACCATCACGAAGTCAAAGAGGTGTACTGTTCCATTGTTTACACTGTACCTTGACCTTTAAGATTGAGAAAAGTGTCCTTGTCTTCTTGTTTATAAATAAACTCGTCAACTTCCTGTGCAGTGAACGTGATCGCCCGAAACGGCTTTCGAACCTGGTGGCTTCCGA